CTTTTTATTGGCTCCATTGTGGCTCGTCCGTATTTCCACCGGCTTCCTTCCCCATCAGCCATGAAACTAGAGTCCCTGCACGGCCGGACACTCTAAGCCTTGTCCCCCTCTAGGCCTAGCTTGCCACCCACCCGCCAGCCCTCCCACCCTGGTCAGCCCAACCCACTTGTGTGTCCTTCCCTGCAGAAGCTGCATCCCTTCGTGGCAGATCTCCAGCAGGCCTCCAAGCTACTGCAGAGCTCCATCCAAGAACTGGAGGAGGGCGACCTCCCGGCGGACAGCCAGGTAACCACCTGCAACCAGCTCCAGATGCTGCTACCCCCTCCCCCAAAGAGCAGCTTGGGCACCGGTGTTTCCTGGAAGCTAGGTCCCTGTGTGGCCACTCAGGAGAGATTGGTAGAGCACCCAGCAGCCTACAGCTGGGTTTTTTGTTTCTAAGGGTGGTGCACATATCACATGCCCTGGTGCACACTGACATTTTTATTCCGCACATGGATGGCAAAGAGAGAGGGAACATTGATGTGCTCTGCACTGCTGTGGCACAGATACTCACCAGCTCCTGCTGCCCCACGGCAGTCCGGCCCAGGGGCAATTCCTGCCCATCGGGAGAACCCAAGGGACTTTCTAGGTGCATCTGTCCCAAAGCAGCAGGGACTCTCCTGCAGCCTGTGCTTGCTGCACGAGCAAAGACACAATCCGTGTATTGCAGAGCCAGGCGTAAGCCAGCCGGGCGCTGTTCTGTGGGCGCAGCGCCCATGCTGAGCCCAGCCTGGCCCGGTCAGTACATGGACCGGAGGCCACAGGCAGACTGAGTCTGTGCTGCAGCAGGAGATGGGGCAAGGCGGGCCCCACGGGCGGGAGATGCTGTCACCTGGCTAACGCCCTGGTTACTCGGGGCCACGGCAGAGTCCACGGGAGGGCTGCAGGAGGAGCAGTGTCAGTTCTCGGTGGGGTGCGCCTATTGCCAAGAGAAGCCTGCCACGCTGCCCCCCAGCCGCCGGCGGAGTGGTCCCTGCGTCGCACGCTCAGAAAACCCGCTGGGAGCCCCTGGCCGGGGGACCACAGAACCGTAGGGTTAAAAGGGGCTCGGGATGGAAAAACCCGTCTCGTCAGTTAACCCCTTAAATGGGGCAGGGAGGCAGAGCAGCACCCCCCCCACCCGCTGCAGGCGGGGTCTGCT